CCCATCAGCCCCAGTCAGCATGGCCAATAGTCAAGGATGATGGGAACTGTAGTTCAACAACATCTGGAGGGCCATGCATTGACTACCCCTGCGGTAGTGGGGTAGGAGGAAGCAGCTGTTGGTCTGCCAAAGGAGAAAGAGGAGTAAAAAATAATTATTATTTTGACATAAGATAATGATGATTGTAGGAATAATGATGATGGCTGAGTAAAGGTAGTCATATAAAATTTGATATGGCCGCTCATCCATAAGACCCTTTTATTCATGCATGTCTTTTAAAACCAACCAGTGTTTTACCATGTGGTTTGAAATCAACCGTACGATCTTGCTCATCTTCTGCAGAGCTGCAAATTGTTTCATTCTGTCTTATAAGAAGGAAATTTTATGTTGCTGTTTTTATTCCATTTTGGTTTTGGTTTTGTTTCCAGCATTTTTACTATCACGTGTTCTATTTTGCTTTGTTGTTTTTGTTGTTAATTAGCTGTTCGCGTTTCCTTTTGGAATAAGGCACAGCAGAGACTGTAGGGTCTCTATGATATATGGTTTATTTACAGATATATGTGACCTGAGCCTACAATGCAGGGGTTCACAGCATGAACCCCCAAGAGGGTCTTGCCTCTCCTATAACAGCAGCTTTGGATTCAAACAGAAATCAAGCATTGCTTTCAAATGTTGCTCCACCTCTCTCCAACTTACTGCTTTACTTCCAAGTGACATTACTGCAAAACTCTCCTCTCAATTCTAACTTTGCCCACTGAGGGTGGGGCCCCCACCCATTTGCCATCTCTCAACGAGCCCCTTAATCCCACTTAATGGCTCTTCACCCATGCTATCACTTCACCAGGAGGCTATTCCTGCCTATTCCAAGAATTAGAAGCCTTGATTACATTCCGACACTTGCTGGATCCAAGCATTAGAGGGTTCTGGCACACACCTTAACACCCCAAGCTCAAAATATAATGTTATCTTTTAAAAGCTTTCAGATGAACAGCCAGTACATTCACATCTTTTCTATTAAGAGCACAGCAATTACAAGTGCATCTTAGATCTCCAGTGGCCTCTCCTGCTGCAACAGAGGAATTCTAGGTCTCCCGATATTCCAGCCTTCAATTTTATTGAAGTAGTTTAGAATTTAGAAGTTTACATTGATCTTTCAAACTGTCTGTGTTTAAGATTCCATCGGGAACCACACTTGAAATCAATAGCGTTGCTTGATGTATGCTTCCTCTATGCTCCCTGTTTTCTGCTTTAAAAGCTGACATTCCTAGATCACACCAAGTTTGGTTTTTTGGCATATATATATATATATATATATATATATATATATATATGGTGTATCCCTTTCCAGTTTTAGCTGTTTTAGCTCTGCTGTTTAACTTGTTCCTGTGTTTTGGAACTTTGATTGTTTAGTGTCTACTTGGCTTATTTTATGTATTGTATCCCACCTTGGTATTCATAAAACCATAAAAGCCTTATATATAAGTAAGTGTTCTTATGAGCCTATAAATATTTTTTAAAAGCAACCTACATTTCACTGACATTAAACATATTTTTATAGAACTCCAAAGTCCACAGATACAAAAGTCTTCCATCTTCAAATCTTCACCTTCCACGAGCTGGAAGGCAATGGGGACAGGAATGTAAGGAGCCATAGCCAGTGCCTTTTTCTTTAAAAAATGTTTAGGGGTACTCTCATTTTCCTACTCATATTGAAATACTCCCCCTCAATAAGGCCAAACTTAGATTCACAAAATATTTAGGGGTATGTGTACCTCTGCGTCCCCCCCCCAAAAAAAGCACTGGCCATAGCTAACATAATCACCCTATTTCACCCACTTACCACCACACACTCTCTTTATTTTTTTTTTAAAGCAATTTATTGGGTTTTACAATAAAAATAGACATCATGAACAATATAACATTTGTCTTAACATAGTTTCACATTTTCTTTGGACTTCCTCACATCTCCCGCTCCCACTTTCATCGTTATAACATTTTATCAGCAATTTATCATCTTGTTTAGATTCTTATATCCCTTCTATATTTCATAATCTTGTAATTCTCGAAAGGAGTTAAATTTTCACAATCTTATTTGTTTTCTTAAAAAAAATTCTAGATTTAGTGGTGCTCAGTTGTTTTAGTCTAGCATCTTATTTAACATTCACTCAAATTACAATATTTTTGTAGATAATTCTTAAATTTCTTCCAATCCTCCTCTATCCTCTCTTCTCCCAGGTCACGAATTCTGCCGGTCATTTCAGCCAGTTCCATGTAGTCTATCAGTTGCATCTGCCATTCTTCCAGTGTGGGTAGATCTTGAGTTTTCCAGTATTTTGCGAGAAGTATCCTTGCTGCTGTTGTTGCATACATAAAAAATGTCTGGTCCCTCTTTGCCACCCCTTGGCCGACAATACCCAAAAGGAAGGCCTCTGGTTTCTTAGTGAAGGTATATTTAAATACCTTTTTCAATTCATTATAGATCATTTCCCAGAACGCTTTCACTTTAGGGCAAGTCCACCAGAGGTGGAAAAACGTTCCCTCACACTCTTTACATTTCCAACACTTATTGTCAGACAGGTGGTAAATTTTTGCAAGTTTGACTGGGGTCATATACCATCTATAAATCATTTTCATTACATTCTCTTTCAGAGCGTTACATGCAGTAAATTTCAATCCATTACTCCACAACCTTTCCCAGTCCTCAAACATAATATTATACCCAATGTCCTGTGCCCACCTTATCATAGCCGATTTAACCGTTTCATCTTGTGTATTCCATTTTAACAGCAAGTTATACATCCTTGATAGTACCTTAATCTTTGGTTCTAACAATTCTGTTTCTAGTTTCGATTTCTCCACCTGGAACCCTAATTTCTTATCATTTTTAAAAACTTCTTTAATCTGAGCGTAATGTAACCAATCTCGCACTTTGTCTTTCATTTTCTCCAAACTCTGCAATTTCCAATTGTCTCCATCCTTTTCTAGTATTTCCCAGTATTTTGGCCATTTAGCCTCCATATTGGGTCTTTTTCGGGCCTTAGCTTCTAGTGGTGAGAGCCACCTGGGTGTTTTATTTTCCAGCAAGTCTTTATATTTTGTCCAGACATTAAACAGTGATTTTCTGACAATATGGTTCTTAAAGGCCTTATTTGCTTTAACCTTGTCATACCATAAATATGCATGCCATCCAAAAGCATTATTAAACCCTTCCAGATCTAACACATCAGTGTCTTCAAGGAGTAGCCAATCTTTTAGCCAGCAGAACGCTGCGGCTTCATAATACAACTTTAAGTCTGGCAGGGCAAAGCCCCTCTTTGTTTTGCATCAGTTAATATCTTAAACTTAATTCTGGGCTTTTGCCCTGCCAGACAAACTTAGAAATGTCTCTCTGCCACTTCTGAAAGCACTCCGTTTTGTCCAGAACCTGAAGTGTTTGAAATAAAAACAACATCCTTGGCAATACATTCATCTTAATAGCAGCAATCCGGCCTAACAAAGAAAGTTTCAATTTTGACCAACTATCTAAGTCTCTCTTAATTTCTGTCCAACATTTTTCATAGTTGTCCTTAAATAGACTTAGATTTTTTGCTGTTATATTTACCCCTAGGTATTTTACTTTTTTAACCACATTAAGTTCCGTCTCATTCTGAAACCGTTCTGACTCTGTATCTGTCAAATTTTTCCCCAAAACCTTGGTTTTCTGTTTATTTAATTTAAATCCAGCCACCCGACCAAAGTCATTAATCAGTTGTAATACTCTTTTCGTACTTGGCTCTGGCTTCTGCAGGGTCAAAACCAGGTCATCTGCAAAGGCTTTTAATTTATATTGTTTCTGACCGACCTGAATTCCTTCCACCAACCGATCCCCTCTAATTATGTTCAATAGCACTTCCAGAACCGAAATAAATAACAAAGGGGAGATAGGGCAACCTTGTCGTGTCCCTTTTTCAATTTTGAACTCTTCTGTAACCACATTATTAACTATCAATTTAGCTTTCTGTTCTGAATATATCGCCTCAATCCCATTCTCAAAACCCCGTCCCACTCCCATCTCTTTTAAGTTTCCCATCATAAATTTCCAGGAGATATTGTCAAAGGCCTTCTCCGCGTCTATAAAAATTAAAACTGCTTTTGTATTTATATCTGTTTGCAAAAGTTCCAAAATGTCAATAATGTTCCTTGTATTTGCAAACAGATGTCTACCTGGGAGAAAGCCAGCCTGGTCCTTATGAATTACTTCATTTAAAACTTTTTTAAATCTACTTGCCAAAATGTCTGCAAATATTTTGTAATCCACATTTAAAAGGGAGATGGGACGGTAGTTCTTAAGTTGTGTCTTTTCAGCTTCCGACTTTGGTATTAATGTGATAAACGCTTCCTTCCACGACTCCGGTGCCCTCCTCCCCTCCATAATTTCATTGCTGACCTCCATCAAAGGTTGTATCAAATAGTCTTTTAATGTCTTATAGTACTTGGAGGTCAGCCCATCTGGCCCTGGGGATTTGCCGAGTTGCATGTTCTGAATGGCTTGTTCAATCTCCTGTAGTGTTATTTTAGAGTTCAGGATTGTCCTATTTTCTTGTGACAATTTAGATAGTCCATTTTTTGCCAAAAATTGTTTAATCTCAGCTTCATCTTGCGGCCCTTGGGTGTATAATTTTTTGAAATATCTCTGGAAACACTTTCTAATATCCACTGGATTCTGAATGATTTTTCCATCAACCTCTAAGTTTGTAACCGTATTTAATCTTTGTCTTCTCTTCAACTGCCAAGCTAGCAGTTTTCCACATTTATTCGCCGACTCAAACGTTTTGTGTGTTTCATTGATTTAACCTTCCATTCAATTTCCTGATTTATCAATTTAGAGTATTGTGTTTGATAAAGTTTAATTTCTCTCAGAGTTGGCTGTGACTTCGGATTCACTCTTAATTTCTTCTCTAATTCTTTTATTTTATCCAAAATCTTATCTTTTTTCTCATTTTGTGTTCTTTTCTTTACTGCATTCTGTTGTATCAAGAATCCCCTCATTACAGCTTTACTTGCGTCCCAGACGATTCTTTTTTTCCACCGTAGTATTCATATTTATCTCAAAGTAGTCCTTCAAGACTTTTTGGGCCTTCTTGGTAATTTCCTGGTCTCTAAACAAATTGTCATTCATCTTCCATCTAAAGGATCCAGTTGGTAGTAGTGTCATATCCATCTTTACTGCATTATGGTCGGAACAGGTCTTTGGGCAGATTTCCACTTTTCTAACCTTAGGTGCCAGGCCTCTAGAAATCCAAATTTGGTCGATTCTTGTCCAGGTCAGTTGGGCTTCAGAAAAGAATGTTCCCTCTCTTCCTAGTGGGTTCTTTGTCCTCCAAATATCAATCAAATCCGTATTGTCAGTCATTTCAAAAAAGGTTTTAGGTAGTCTGCCGTCTTTTGTAACATTTTGACTTTGTGACTTGTCCATATTAGTTGATACGACCCCATTCATATCTCCCATCATTATGATATTATTGTAATCCAGATAGTCCAGCATTGTCTCGTGCAGCTTCTTGTAAAATTCCGATTTCCCTTCATTAGGTGCATAGATTCCTAATATCAACAGTTTCTCTCCTTGATGTTGTATCTCAATAGCCAATATTCTTCCATGTTCATCTTTAAATAAGAATTTAGGTGACAGGCTCTCTTTTGCATATATCACCACGCCTCTCTTCTTAACTTTGTCCGACGATACAAATTCCTGGCCCAATCTTTTATTTATTAACACTTTTCTATGGAGCCTCGTCACATGTGTTTCTTGTAAACAGATAATGTCCAATTGTTCTTTTTTTAATATGTGAAATATTTTCTTCCTTTTTTCCGGAATGTTACAACCATTAATATTCCAGCTCAGCAATTGCAGAGACATCCTGGATCAATCTGGTTATTTCTCCAAGGGTGGTGTCTTCTCTGAATCTTCAGGTTCCCCAGGTGCTGGTGTTAATGCTGGTGTTGCCCCAGGCCCAGAAGGTAATTCAATTCCTTTTTGAAGGTCCTCTCCGTATGTAGTCAAAAATTTGTCTCTCTCTTCCAATGTTCTAACTTTAACCTTTCTCCCTCTAAAAGTAAAAGATATTCCTTGGGGAAATTCCCACCTAAATGGAATTGCGTTGCTCCTTAGTAGTTTAGCAAGTTCAGAATAGGCGGCTCTAAGATCCAGCAGTTGTCTTGGAATATCTTTATATATTTCAATTCTTCTGTCCAAAACCTCCAGTGACTTTCCGTAATGTAGGCCCAAAATCTTATCCCTTTCCTCCTTTGATCTCAATGTTATCAAACAGTCTCTGGGCCTCTCCTTCTTTATGAATCTTCCAAGTCTGAAAGCTGACACAATTTTAAAGTCCTTTTCTTCCAAATTCCAGAACTTGGAGAATTCTTTGGTCAAAAATTCAGTTAAATTTCCTTCTTCTGCCTCTTGTAGTGATCTAATCCTCAGGTTGTTCTCACGATTTCGCAGTTCTATCATAGAAAGATAAATCTGGTGCTCCCCAACTTGTTTAGTAAGTGGTCTTACCTCTTGCTCTAAATTTTCTAATTTTTGTCTGGTGTCCTCAGCCAATTTCCGATTTTCTGCTGAGGCCTCCGTTAACTGTCCAATTGCTTGTGTATTCTGTACCACTTGTATGGTTAATTTATTTAGACATTCTGTATTTTTGTCAATCTTTGCTGATTGCACATCTACTTTCTTGTCCAAAGCTTCCAATTTTTCAAAGATTTTGTCTAGAACAGAAACAGATACTCCTGAGGCCATATCTTCCAGTTGTAACTGCTCTGCTTCACCCTCTCCCTCTTTTGCCTGTAACAAGGCAACTTCTTCAACTTCTACTTCTGAGGGCAAAGTAGGTACAGATGATCTACGTGTCTGCGAGGCTGAGGTTAGAGTTGTTAAAGTTGTTTGTCTAACTCTCCCTCTTCTTCTTGTGCCACTCATTCCAACGTTATCTATCAGTCAAGGTCACACTGAGTTTCCCATGGGAATGGAAAGGCCCAGAGCGGCAGCCAACAAGGGAATCAAAAGTAAATGTACATGTAAAGTCACTGTTTTAATCCGATCCTCTAGAGGGAGCCTAAAATGTCTTTCAGAGTCTAATTTAATATCCAAGAACCTTCAGATACAAATATTTGGCAGAGTTTATAAATGGTCACTTTGTTACAGACAGTGCTTATTTGTCTCAAAAAAGAATGTTTCAAATTTAAAAGGTCTCAATACCCTCAGATTGTTGCAAGTTCCAATATACAGTATCCAAATCTGCAATACTGACAGCTCAATCTCTCAATGTTCAGGCAGCTCCTGACTCTGGGTTTCACCTTCTAATTTGTAATCCAATAAAAGGAGGAAAGTCAAGTGCAAGTAATGATTCCAAATCTTTAACTTAAAGTCTTTACCTTCAATTGCAAGTCCAATAGATGCTTAGATCTGTAAAGTTTAAAGTCTCTTTCTTTCAGCCTCCACTCCTCCAGCTCGTTGCTTTTTTCAAGTTCAATGGCTGCGGAAGACGGACTTCCTGTTTCCACGTCTCTCCGCCTCTTCAAACCAATTAGGATTTTTCATTTAAAGTCTCTAATTTCAAGTGATTCAGTCTTTACTCACGAATAAGTTGCTTTTCATCCGAATCCGTATTTTGACAGGAAAAGGGATCAGCGCTCACCGGCAACAGCAGCGCGGCTTCGCTCCACGGACTGTGAAGCAGCTCTCAGCGCCGCAACCCCCCTCCACGCTCCGGAGCCCCTTACGGGGTTCCTTTCACGTTTGGAGGGTCGCTCAAGGCGCCCACCGAGCCCCAGGACCCCAGGCTCTTGCTGCCTGGGGTTTTCCGATGTGGGTCTCCGCTTCGCACACACTCTCTTTATCCTAACTGCAATGCCTGATATGACTTGCATATATCTGCCTTTCCCCATTCCTAGAAAGTGCAGGAAAAGCAGAAAACCACTCAGGCCTGTGCTTTCTAGGCACAAGAAAAGAGGACAGGTGGACAGCCTTTGGATATGACCCTACACTAAATACTCTCCACTTCCCCAGTGGGGAGGAGTTGCGGTGGACCACGTGGCCACTCACTCCACTCCGGGCACGGGGGACAGAGTCCCGTATCACCCAGAGGTCCTGGCCACGTCATGGCCAGCCAGCCAATCCGCTGGCTTTGGGGGGGCGTGGCCAGGCCCTGTTTAAACCGAGGTGCGAGCCAGAGAGCTTCCTTCAGGCTCGCTTCCTCGATCTCCCGCCTACCCTCCCTATTTTCAGGTCGACTTTAGCCTTGCTATGGACCTCGGTTGGTCGCCATTGAGGGGCCTGGTAGGAATTTTCCAACTTGGCAAATTGGCATGGGCCACTTGGTTTTCACCTTCCTCGTAGCAATCATCACAACTTTGTAAGGTTTGGTGGTTAGGCATTGGTTGATCTTATGGTGGGGGAGGGGAGGTGTGGCCATCCTCTGCCCCTCCAAGCTTAAGGGTATTCTGTTGAAGGAATCTGGGGGTGTGGATCCTGTCCAAAGCCCGGGCAGGGCTAGGGCCATGCCACAACCCCATCAGGAACCCAGGGGGAGCTCGAGTTGGTTTGCATCGGCGGGGCTCCTCCTACTGGTGGTTGACCCTTACAGGACTCCCTGAGTGACGGGCTGGAGTCAGATATAGTTGGATCAATTCCAGTGCCTAAGCCAATACTGCTCACATGTAGCCAATAAAGTTGTGGCCTAAATTTGCCCAATAACCATTAACCTAATATCCATGTCCTTGTGTTTTATTCATCAATGAGGGGGTGGCTTCAGGGTCTCGACAAACAATGTAAATAATGACAGAGCACCACCAGCAGAGCCATGAAAGTGAGACTCACCTTGTGATATAAAATTGTTGTTTAAAGGGAATGAGACAGTTTGCTGAGGTCATTCATTGGATCTGTTCCCAGGATGGCAACAAGCCAAAGGAATTCGGACCATGGGGGTTATAAATTAAGGGGGTAAAGACAATGGGACAAGATTTAGGTGTTATGTAGCTGACACAGAAGACAGCAGTTCTTTAAGACTAATGGGGATGGCTGGATTGATCGCAGCATGGATTTGTCTAGCTCCACAAAGGAAAGTATAGACCTGCTATGGAGATTCCCAGTACCAAGAAAGATGTTAAAGGTTTGAATATCTTTTTTAGTTGATCATTACATTCAGTTGTGTTCAGGAAATTCAGTTCAGCTGGCGCTTTAATGCAAACCTACCTAATTAGCATGTCCCAAAGCAATGCAGAAACCCAAATGCTGTCCTTCAAATTTTGCAATTCTCTGAACTCTGTCAGGCAGTTCTCCAGCATGTTGCAAAAATGTGCATCTTGAAAAAATGTGTGTATTGGAGAAGTTTTGTACGAAAATGTGTATACAGTATTTGGAGAAATGCTCACTAAAATGCTGATAATTTTCCATGAGGACTTTAAAAAAAAATGCAAAATGATATGCTTATTTATTAATATATAAAAATGCAAAGTGATGTGCTTATTTATTAACAGATTAGATCAATGTACAACAACAGATTTGTAACAGATACATGGCACTATTAAATTACTTCTGAACCCAAACTTCACTTGAAAAGATGAGGAAAGGATGACTAGCATCAAAAGTCATTTAAAAGAAAAAAGAAAAGGCAGCCCCTGCCTCTCTATTAATCAATAGAGCCTATTATAATGTCAAAAGACGTACAGAATACTCATGTTTCAGAGCTTCCCAAGCTTTGTTCACCACAAAATCATTCTGAAAGAATCTATGAAACATGGTGTTATAAATTATATATCCAATATAATATTGCACAGGACTTCATCATTCATTTGAAGAAGAAAGTATATCCATCCAATATTTCAACAGGAAAAAAGAACAAAAATCTCTCTAAAAATTAGAAAAGGGGACTGTGAAGGAAGAAATGAAAACTGTGGATGGGTATCAGATATATATCTTTAACATTAGCACAGAGTGTGTTCAAAGTCCTTCCTACTTGCAGTTAGGCTGAGTCCTTTCTAATTCTGAATCCAGCAAGGATTCAGTTGGCAAGGGCCATAATGGGTTGTGAGTATAAAAATGGAAGCTGCTCTGTGCCAGAGCGCAAATGGGTGTCCCTCACCTGGCTGATAGTTAGCCCTCACCGGAGCCGGAGTGTGTATATGTGAGTTGGGCTAGACGCAAAAGCCTGTGTGAGAGAGACATGTTTGATTTCTGCTGGAATCCAAGGCTGTGGCTATGAGGGAAGCAAGACCTTTTTGGGGGTGTTAATGCCGTGAGTCCCTCCATTTTAGGATTAGGTTGTAAGTGTGTGTAAATAAATCCTATATCCCAAAGACACCCCAGTCTCCACTGTCCCTCATTCCAAAGAAACCAAACCCTGGGTAAGTTCCTGAACCCATGGAATCTCACACTGCTCGGATATTGCGGTGGTGTGCAACAATAACAAGCCCGAGGAACAAAACAGGTGAGTCAATATTCCAGCCAAGATTGGGAGATGGTCTAATAAGACATTCGGTGATTTTATGCCAGAAGCAAGCTCTGAACCCAAGACTTCCTGGTTCACAGCGCAATGCCAGGCTACTCAGGTGTTCTCAAGCCCATGCAAAGCAATGCAAGAGTAAGGTGCACAAAGCAGCCCTACCCTAACACCATACACAGCTATCCACCCACCCATACAGCTCTAGGAGCAAAGGTTTTCACACAATGCAACCCCAAATGCAGAGGGTTCCAAGTCACAGGGCTCTAGAAGCAAAAACATGCGCAGACTCTGACTGCAGATGTTTGTGCTGAACATGCAAACATCACGAGGGGTTATTGTTCTATGGGAGCAATAACACCGCAAACTGGGCTCCAGTCTCTTCGCGGTCTTGCTACAGTATAGCTCTCTAATTATTTCTACACAAACATCTTGAACTTCAGTTATGACTTGTGCTTATGGAAAGCAAGAGGTCCTTTCATTTTTTAAAGATATGCATCAGATGGAAGTTAAATGGTGATTGTAGTCATTGTACCAGGAAATGAGAATGTTTGTTAACTATGGGCTGGAGGCTTCCGGGAACCACCTGCTCTTTTAGCATCTCTGCACAAGGTGAGAGGCTGGGGCTTAATCTTCCTTGGCCCAATAACCAAAACTGAAGGTGCTGTCTGAGACACTGCCTAGCGCAGTTTATTGGATGGATCAGCACTGCGGTAAACCTGGCAAAGGGCAAGCCACAGGAGAGACAAAACTGATTTAGAAAATAGGAAAGCAATGAGAAATTTGCCCATACGACACACAGCTGTTCGAATGGCTGCCTCTGTTACCCAAGTTGTCCTGCACAATCATCATTTTTCCAAAGCATTACAGCCCTCACTTCCTGCTATTTCCTTGCTCCCTTACATTTTTGCTTAATTGGAACCATAGGTATGTACAATTGATCGCTACACTCACAACAAAGACAACAAACAAGGTGGATTCTTCCTGCACCGTTTATTTCATCGAGGGAGGGAGGAAGAAAATCAATCAAGCTGAGGCATCGTGTCAGAATACAAATCCAGCGACGGTTAATTCCAGCAGTTTATGGGGGCTGGACATGCAGGTGCTAGAATTGCACCTCTCTCGGTTTATATTGGCAGGCTAGGAACTTGACAGCACCACCTATCACACTATCGGCTGCCATTGCTGTCACCTGCAGCATTTGGAATAAATACCAAATGGCCAGAGTCCTGAAGCTGTTGTGAGTTATGGCTTGCAATGAACCTGAAGTGGTTCTCCCAGGAGTCACAAGATGCTGCTACAGAGATCCTGACATTTGACAGATGTATGTCATCTCGGCAAAGCAGCAAAATAACAACTTATTACAAAATGGGGGGGGGGCAACCTGAAAATCGGAATCCATTTTACTGATGCTTTAGATGGCACCCAGGTGGCTGGTTAGCAAGCAGTGCAGAATTTCAACCCCAAAATAACCTCACCTTAACAGAAGGATACGATTTTTCCAGACAGTTTAGAGCTCCTCATCCCCAGGGCTGGCATCAGCAGCTGGTCACCCTCGGCAGCTGCCCAGACCCTCTGCCCTGGCAGACAGTAGCTCGCAATGAAATTATGTCGTAAGGGAACAGTTAGGGCCAGAGACGCCAGCTTGCAAGGGCAATTAAGGAAGGGGGAGCGATGTCACAGCTCCCTCCCTAAACTGGGCAGAAGCTTCCCAGGCTTGGGAAGGAGGTGTCAGGCCTCTAACAGGGTGCTAGAGCCCTCCTGCCTCTTACAAAAAGCTGGGCAGGCTTTGGGAAGGTGGCAGAAGGGATCTTGGACCCTTCGGAGGATCGTGCCTCCCTCCCTAATCTGGGCAGATGCTTCCCAAGCTTTGGGAAGAAGGCGGCAGGGAAAACATTTAGGGGACTAGTCTTGTCTCCCTAGCCCACTGACCACATGCCACTAGTGATGCCCACCTGGCTTGGTACTCTAAGCAGTGCCAGAACTAGCCACAACTTAGCATTCCGACATTGTTCTGGAGTACTGTGAGGAAGTTAAAAAGTGACTAGGGGAGATCTACATTTATGGTTTTTAACATTAAGATAGGATTAAGGAAAGCTTTTGATAACATAGATGGACACACGACATCCTACTTTTTACTTTCATAATGCGTTATTACCGTGTATTTTTTATCGCTTAATTTTTAATTGTTTCATGCCGCTATGTCAGTGAAACACTGCTCATATGTCCCGATGTAGCATTTTACCTTTCTTTGCTGCATTCAAACTCCCATCTCACCCCCTCCAAAGGCATTCAAGGGGCATATAACAAAGGACACAGAGAGAGGGAGGGAGGGAGGGAGGGAGGGAGGGAGGAAGAATTAAAATGTAATAGCAGAAGGTGGAG